AAGTTCGAAGCAAAACCTCTTCTTCCTTTCAGTGGCTGCCATTCTAAACATGTCAAATCGGGGATACTACGGAATCTCGTCAATTCAACAGCGCAGAAGTCATGCTCACATTTTATTGGCTCTTCTCTTTGTCGACAGATAGAACGTTTCGAAGTTGGTGGAGATCCCCAGGAACATATTTTAAGGCAGTTGGTGTCTATGATATTTCCAAAGAAGTCAATTTAGAAAAATTCGAGACCTTCAAAGCAAGTAGTCCTTTCATATTTTCATAACATTTCTCACAACATCAAAGCATTAGCCAACAGGTTTAATGTTGGCACTACCTTTTCTACAGATTATAGATTGAGCCGTTTGACCCCTTTCCATTGACTGTTTCAGGTTCCGTGATAAAACACAGAGAAAGGGATGTGGAATGTTCGTCGGGTGTCATTTACAAGTTACCCTTTGATTGTGACCTCTGTTATATTGGACAGACTAAACAGTGTATAACTGAGAGGTTGACGGAACAGATATGTTGTATAAAGAAAAAAGACCCATACTCCGAAGTGTCAAAACATGTTATCGAATGTAGGAACTGTGTACCGCTGTGGCATTTAACTTCAGTAGAGTTGCGGAAAAAAGATGACCATAAGCGGTTAATAAAAAGTGTCCTTAACAATAATAGGTCACGGGAACGCAGTTCATAAGCCCTCGTTTGGACTGGACAACGAACCTCGGCGTTTTCTTAGGCTGTGAAAAGTTCTGACCTTGAAGGTTTATCGCTGTAGGCTTTCGGGTAGAGGGGACGATGGGTCGTTCTTTTCTTTTTGTGTGTGTGTTACTGGGCTTGGGCTTTCCAGTGTGTTTGGCGGTCGGGTAGCGAGGGGTCAAAGATAAGAGAGGTGCATGCCGCAGAGTCCGTTGCCCTTGTGTTTAGTCAGATGTTACGTTGTGGAAAGTTGCATTCTTTGGGGTGCTCACCCTCTCCCCTTATTTTCTTTTGTATCGAAGTGCCTGTTGTAAGAACGGCTGACTGGTCGCTAGTAGATGAAGCCAACAACAGCATTTATATACAAATATTTACATTAAAATATCCGGCATCGTCCGCTCATGGCCAGGCCTCGATCCATCTCGTGCATTTTATTTCTCGAGCTCCCACTTCTCCTTCCCCTTTGTCGGGATGCCCGCTTCCATACAAGAAGTTTCAACACACTCACCCCCACCGCAAGAAGAAGAAATAGCTGATGTGCCGTTGCATTAAAGTTTGAAAGTTGGAAGAAAGATAATTCTGACCTTCTCTGGACGTCCATGCTTCCCGGAAGGTCGCGTTGGTAGCCGGGCGATTATTTTATCATTGCCGTTTAGGTCGTTCTGTGTCACGTCATGTCTGTCATTTGCATAGAATCCAGGGACGATGTCTTGCCTTGTGTGAGCGAGCGATTTAGTCTTCCATCCTTCATTCCATTGAATCTGGAAGTCGATCGTGCAGCCACGTGTATTAAAACCACGGGGACGGGACAAGGCGCGAAGTGTACGATATGCTCTTTTCCTAATCTCTTTTATAGCTCTCGTTAGTCGCTGATATATGCCGATTCTTTGTTTCGTGCTTCGTTGCTTGTATAGTCTCCCTTGTTTCTTAAATTGCTTGTTTCGTTGAGGAAGTCGGTTCACATTCCTGTTTAAGAAGGTTCCATTTATTTGTTTAGTTGCTTTGGCACGGTTCCGTTTCTTCCTATCTTTTTGTGCTTTTCTGACTCTATTCTTCTTTGTTCTCAACTTGCCTTCGTTATGAGTTTGGGGACTTCTGTGAGTGCCGGCTTCATACTCTTTCTTGAAACCAGACATGACTTCTTCGCCAGTTAGCATGTAGACTATGTTCTTCGATGAAGTCGACTGTACGGGGTTGTCGTCCAGTAGCGTATTGGTCGCCTTTGTCGTTCCAGTTGATGCGCATCTGTCCTTCGTCTGCTGCTCTGATTTATGTTCTGTGACTAGACGATCGTCAGCGTAGTCTGTTGTCACACCGGTGACAGTTCCGAGTTCATAATTGTTGCTGTAAGGCTGAGTTTGTCTCACGAGATGTGGTCCGATGGAACTCATATCTGACATATTACGTTGTTTAGATAATTGTCGCTTTTCTCTCTCTACTTCTTCCAGTTTCGTCACCTGCTGATTGACTAGTTGTGCTTTAATCTTCAACATTGACAGATGTCCTACGATGCGGTCGTTTAGTTCTATGACGTGAGTGTATTCTTCTTCAGGTTCTTCAGTGGGTATGAATGGTTCGACAGCATCATCCAGGTACTTAAGTTGAGATTCATAGTTTGTTAGCATCTCGATGATTTCGTTAAATTGTCCGGCTGTCGTTGTTTCTCGCATTGCTCTCTCCAGAAAATCAAAGAGTGTCGTTGCCTTGTTGCGTAACGCAGATCTTTGTTGGAGAAGGTGCTCGATGTCGACATCGTTGAGGGTGATATTGTCTTGGGCGTCCGTGACATTGGCTAAAATCTTGCTCATCTTGCCGGTCGATCGTTGCTATAAGTTGGCTGTTGTGACCTTCCGTTGATGGGTCCAGTCAGGTTCTCACCGTTTTGTTAAGCCCTCTCCCGGGTTTCGGCACCATGTTGTAAGAACGGCTGACTAGTTCTTAGTAGATGAAGCCAACAACAGCATTTATATACAAATATTTACATTAAAATGTCCGGCATCGTCCGCTCATGGCCAGGCCTCGATCCGTCTCGTGCATTTTATTTCTCGAACTCCCGTTTCTTCTTCCTCTTTCTCGGGATGCCCGCTTCCATACAATAAGTTTCAACAGTGCCTATATAACCCGATTTCGGACAAAAAAAAAAAATTCAGCTGTGTTACAGACTTTTTAGTGTTGTGTCGTTTACCCGCAATCTCGGGGTTTTTCCAATCATGTGTAATATACACCAGCTCATTTGGGCCCTTACATTTTGCAAATCTAACTTCCCCGCTAAATTTAACGAAAAATGTCCGCCTCGTGATTTATGCGCCAATTCATGTTCTCCTCTAAAATGAGCAAAAACAAATGGACGTCCCGACCTATGCACCAATTCAGTTTCCCCGTTAAACCTAGCAGAAAAAATTTAATTCATAAAATGATTTGTTTACTCACATTTTTCGTCGTCGTATTCACAGTGAGCTGCGTCATGAGTCTCATGACGAATGCTATCACAATTCATAAACTTCCAGCAATAGTAGTTTCCACTGTCATTTTGATTACTTTTTGGCCTTCTTGTTGACCTTCTAGCACATTGAATAGGCCTTGTTTCGCGCACAGCATATCACCTGAACGCTGCGGTGGCCAGCAATATTTTTCAGCCAATAGGTGAGCATGTGGATATTGGGCGCTGCCACAAAACGTGATCCAGGCTTTTTCGTTGTTGCTTCGTCATCGCCTTTAAGTTAGCACTTGATTGGCTTGCAGATGTTTTCGCATATCGATACCAGGGGTGCTCTTGGGTGACCAGCATCCTGGAGCCTGGAGCTTTGAGACGCGAAACGTCACCCCACCTGATGTTACAGGACTTTTAATGGCCGGAAGTGAGCCGTGTGGTTGTTTGTTAGTAAACCGACTTGTTTGTAAAAAGCACGGTAGTCTATTAAACGTTAAAAAATGACGCTTGCCCTCTGGGACGCTAAAACCTTTTTCAAGCCTACTCACTGGGTTCGAGGCTAGCATAACACCGTCCCAGGTAACCCTAACCGAGTGGAATAATTATCGCGATAGGCGTAGCCTGAATTTCAGACGCTTCTGCAGGCTAAATGGTTGTATTTTACGGCAGTTTTGTTTTGCAATTGATGGTGTATTCATTTTGCCGTGGCGCATAGGTAAAGAATTGCTCCCTATTTCCAACCAAAAACAAAGGCAACTATTTTTGTGGTAATTGCGCGACAGAACGAACGCTACTGGAAACATTGTTTTAATTGACGATGATATTTAACGGCGCTGTCCGCTGAGCAGTGCTAAGCGACAATACGCTTCGCTGCCGAAAATAGGTTAAAACAAAATATAGCCGAAATCATGCATATTTCACGCGCACAAAAAGCGTGATTACCGATCTACACAACAGGAATCGCATATAAAATTTAGCAACTTTCCAGATTCGAACAGCATATTGCACATACCGCACGGTGCAGCGTAATCTGAGACAGGATTATTTTGAGTAAGATATCAAACACAAAAGAGCAGTGTCGACGAATGTCACATCGTGACGATCGGACAAAATTCAAGAGGACCTCGATTTGGAGGAAGTTTTCGGAAAAGCTTCCTTTTTTCGCAGCACCAGCAGCAAGGCAAAGCAACGGACTCGTCAGGCTCATTTCAACATTTACCCGAACAGCTATTTTTGGTGCCTCAGAAGCACATCTACACAACTTATCTCCGGGAGTTAAGAAACCAGTTTTCATTGTTTGCAAAACGGTGTCGAAGGCCTTTCGACGTTCCTCACTTCCGTCGTTTCCCGGGAATTTCTAGCAGAAACGATTGGATGTCATCAGCTTACCAGCCTCATCTCTCACAGCGGAAGATGGCACGAGTAGGGTACGCAGCATGCGCAAGAAACACGAAATGAAAACTTCCAAGAAAGGACAAAAAAATTGGAATACATGACCTCTGAACAGAGTCAGTGAATTGTGCTGAACAGGTTTCAACAGTCCAAGAGAGTGGCAGAAAATGCAAAACTGATAGGAGGCGCGAGCCTCGGACCAGCTGCTTCATCAGCAAAATGACGGCTGCCAAAAAGCGTTTTTTGGAAAAGTATATAGCCCACTACACATGGAGCAAGATTAACTTAGAAGCAAGCGATGACGAGTTTTGACGCCGCGTTCCGTATAAAGCTTACGATAACATTCAGCTAAAGAATTGTTCCGTGGTGATCTTTTTTTATTTAGCATAGATATAGCAGCTTATGACTGAATATTTTCGACAACCTAGGTTATCGTTGTACAGGTGTCGATAAAATAAAGAAAATATATTTCAGTTGGAGATGACTTACCTTATTCAAACAAAACTGTAGTTCAGTAACCGTGCAGAATGTGTTGATGCCAACCTGCAAAACAGAATGCACGGGAGCCCATATTCGTTGCGGCGCTCAGTGTCAATGCAGTAAGCATGTGCAACGGAACAACTCAGTCGCATTTACCATAACAAGTCCCGCCTTGGACGCCGCATAAAGTAGCTGTGCCCCTTCGTAGAGCCTTGGAGCGAGTATGGCGACCCTGGAACCTTCAGGAAGTTTGAGAGAAACCAGGCCTGCAGCTAGTAGGTCTACCTATAAGAAGAGAAAAAAATCCACAAAGACACAACATACTTACTTGAATCGACGCAGCGGGCGTTGATTATGTAAAAATAAAGGGCTTGAATTAGCGCATCCTGATAACGTTTATTTCTAGGCGAACCTACGCGCCACGTCCAAGTGGTGACATGCGGAGAACCGTGTTGTGGAGTTGCCACTCCGTAGTTGGAGTGATTCCATAATCATTCCGAATTTTTTTGACCCGGAATGGAATGGCAATGGAATGACGGCATCGTTGTTGGAGGGGGGGGGGGGGGGGGAGAGGGGGGGGGAGGTGGAATTGGAATTGAAATATATGTCTTTTGCCCGGAATACAGCGGTAATGTAATGGGACCAGTTCTTATGCGATCATCTAGAGCCAAAATGGCTGATGGTGCAATTGGCTCTCGCGTGGTATGTACGGCTCTCGAAAAAACATCATTTCACTGGAGATGACTGACGGATTCATTTTCTCACTGGTTCATGCTCCTTTGAGGATGAAAATGGCAGGCCCTCGGTTGAGCAACCAAAAGGTAGATAGACAAGGTGTCGTTCAGGGCGCCAAGAGCCAAGAAAAAGCGGCTCCTGTAATTATGCGTGATTAGAATGGAGCTGTTAACCAGGGTGTCGAACGGAACCCGAACCGAACGCCGGAGCAAAACCGTTTTAACTGAACCGGAACAAAACTGTAAACGAAATTAAGCATGGAATATTAGGAAGTTTAAGAATAACGTACGCAGTTTTAGTGCACGCTAACGCTAAATGTAGCGCTTGCGTTAGCGTACGATACGCGAGAGAGCTTTAGAATAGCGTTTCTGTGCCGCGACGCAAAAGCCCAAGCATCTCGCGCTTGCAACGCCACCAAGATACAGTCACAATTTTTATTGCACACATGAAATACTGTCCCTTGAGAAAAAAAACAAGTTGTTTTTTTTTTTTTTGGTCCAGAGTAATATTTTAGATTTGTTTAAACAACAAAATGCGACGGAAGCAGTGCCACCGGTTGTGTTCGCTTGCGTCGCCTCGGCAAGAAAAGTCTCGTGGATTGACCTTCGCTGATTTCACCGAGAAATGTTCGCGCGTCGCAAGCATCAAGTTGCCGGTGATCGCTGCCAAACCTAGTCCAATGTCATTCCGTATTGAAAATCGCCGTCGCGAGGATGCCGCCGATGTTGCGGTCACGACACCGCCAAAGCCAAAGCGGCCGCAGACATGGCCCGGGAGCCGCCATTTTTTAACTGTGCTCGTCTTGGCCTTAGCCAACTTCTCATCACGAATCCTCATTGGAGGAGCGCAAAAACTTTTTGCGTGCGCGCTGAATTTCCGAAAAATAGCGCACGCTGAAATAGCGCACGCAAAGCGCAAAACGTAGTTAGCGTTCGGCACATGCGTGGGGGCGACGACGCTAATCTTTTCGTACGCAAAGCTTTAGCGTGCGCAATTCTAAAACTCCCTATTAAACCCGAGCCGGAACAGGACCGTAATCTCGTGTGGCGCTTACCAGTTAATTGGAAACAGTTCGGCGTCATAAACCGTAAGCCGCACCTTCTTGCGGCTGGCGGTGTGAAGTCAATTAAATATTTGCAACGGTGACGTCGGCGACATGGAGACAGCTTAGTCATATTGAAAAAAATAAGTATACTTATTTACGTCTACGTGCAGCGAGAATGGCGTTGCCGAGTCGGCGTGGAGGCGTACTCTTCTATATTTTGTTTCAGCTGATGATGGACCGCAAAGGACGCTACGAGCTCCTGGATTTAATTTATAGTTCATGGGGCTTTACACGTCCTAAAGGTTGGTGGAGCAGCGCGGGGAGCGCAAACTCACGAGACAAGCTACGAACTACTGATTCGCTCGTGAAGCTTATAGCGTCCATCCTGGCACATAGGAAGCTGAATCGGAGTGTATCTGAGTGTCGAGATGCTCAACTGCTAGTCTTTGTGTGTGTAGGCTTGTATGCGCGCCTCTGTGGGTACGTTTCTTTTCATTTCTCGCTGCTAAGCAATATTCCTTGCGGAAGGAGAAAGAGAACATAAACATCAAACTGAAAAGAAAAAGTTGAAAAATTTGAGACAAAAAAATCTGGAGGCAACATGAGGTGAATCCAGGACGAGCGCGACACTGCGGCGTCGGTCGCCGGGACGCCAGTCGCCCAGAGCCGACGCTGTTTGAAGAAAAGTTTTTTTTTATTTGTTTTTGCGTGTGTGCATTTTCTAGAAACAGTAAATCACCCGTTGTCTTTTGTTATATCCTTTTTTGTGTTTTTATCGTCTTTCGACCTTACCTCGCTGTGTTTTTTTTTTTTTTTTTTACTCCGTCGTTCGAGCAAGTTGTTAGGGCGTGCGGTGCGGGTGAGCATTAACAGTAGGTATAACGCCGTCCTGCACTTAGAGAGTAAATTCCTGTCGAAACAACTACGGACTAATTTTTTTTTGTGTGTGTAGCTTTGAAGTACGGTGCATGCTACGAACACGGTGTCACGGTGCGAGCTGTCTGATCGACTTCACATGGGAGTACTGTACTTTAGTACTGCTTCCAAGCGTCTATATAACCACGTGATTTTCATAAAAAGGTGTTTGCGTTCAAAATTCATGACCACAAAACTAAACTAAGCATATATTTGTTTTGCGGTCCTCGTTTTCACAGCATAACTTCTGATGACCTACTTAATTTACATTATTTTCTTAACGACTGGGAGCTGTGAGCTTTACTCTCAAGAACTGCGTTGTACAGTTTCGCGCTTGGTGGAACCTGTAGCCGGATCGATATCTCAAACGCGTCCCTCAACCGGAAGCCAATCGGAACAAAATGCAAAGCAACCCGAACCCAAACCGAACCGCAATATGACCGGTTTGACTCCCTGGTTTTAACTTTGCCGATCTTCAACTTTTTAAGTCGAACACAAATAAAAAAAAAATGTAATAAATGTACTGCGACCGTAAAAGTTTACGCTTTTGCGGCAGGTTCCGTAACAGCAATTATACTTAAAAAACAAGCGAGCTGGTGATGATTCATGGTAATAAAACCCGAGACTCAGGAACCCAGAAGGGGACGAACACAACACAACGTCTCAAACACAGCTGAAAGTTTATTTTTCAGACACTCGTTTAAAAGGCGAGCCCCCCCGGTGCCCCAACCGACATCCACAGTCCCGAAGGTCAAGCGTCTTCCTCCCGTCCAGTCCACGTCAGCAGCCCTCCTCGCACACACGTACATGCACATGCGCCAGGCGCCACATCGTCCATGAGAACGTCCACGCAGTTGAATTATCACCCGCCACTGCCACCACTGCTAATCTCCCACTTCCTCGCAGCGCTTCCTTGCCCCCCGCCGCCGAATCGTACACAAGCACACCACTCAGATATACCCCCTTCCCGCCCTCCCCCCCCCCCCTTTACAGTTGCCGACGTAAACACAAACCTCGAAATCACATGTGGAACCCCACCCAGTGAGCCAAAATGCGCCGCAAAGTAATCTCAAAGCCTTAAAGTTTGTGCCGCTGTCCGTCCGTCCCCCCTTCTAAGTACTTCCTCATGTTCAGTTACTGTTACCAACACGCTCGTTTTGCTTTTACTTATCCCCGACCTTCCCAAAAACATATCTCCCCTTACCTTTAGTTCTGTCTCCTTCCGATGCCTTCAAAAAACAAAAAAAGACAGAACAATTTTACTTAACCTTTCGGCTGGATCTCACCCGTCATGGAGACAAAAACTCCGTTTCTGGTTAGGCTGTCTGAAGAAACGGAAGGATTGCTTATGCAGTTCCCAATACTCCCTATTCTAATGGTCTCCCTCAATATCCTTTTAGTCGCATCTTTTGCGCTGTAGATAATTTCTGCTACAGTCCCTTGTGCTGGCTCCGTAATTCGATTGCACTTTGTCGCTTCTAAGAGAGCATTAGCGGTGCGGTTGTAAAGTATTCGAAGCGTAGAGCGAGGTAGCTTTTTCTTAATCCACGCACAAACTATATATTTTAAGGCCTTATTAAACAAACAACAAGCTAATCATATACCTATTAATGAAAGCTATACACGTTCATGTGTGAAGAAAATGGGTGGTCTTATTATTTGGCGTTTGTTGGTACTTGCAAGTCTTTTACGCTTCATCGCGCGATTGATGTCTGCAGTGACAAGAGGTTGCCACGAAGCACTTTGTGCAACCACCTTTCGGTTTAGCAGAAGGAGTGCTTTGAGGTGAGTAAGTTTTTAGTTTTCTCCGCGTGATGCTTTTTTTTTTTTTTTCACTAACACAATGTGGCTGACAGTAGCCGTTTTTCACCTTTAGAAATTATAGGAATGTGATGGTGAGGTTCAGCCGTTCCAGAAGTGGGAATCGGCTGAGTTTCTCCAATTCGAGGAGTTGAGAGAAATTGAATTGCCGGAAACTATAATTCCTTAGAATGGAATCGGAATGAAATGCGGGTGCCCATTCCGCAAAACTGGTGGAGAAGTAATGACCAGCGACCGGTATCTTTCCACTGTTGCCTACCTGGTTATCTCGCACGCTACTGCCCCCATCACCTGAATGTCGAAGGTAATCAGTGCTTCTCTCGTCCTAACCCATGTTATACTGCAAAATAACAACATCCGTTTCTTTTTTTTCTCTTTCGAACCTTAGTTTTGAGGTTTCTTTTCGCAGCGCGACAACCCTGTAGGTCGATCACCGACTTTTTACCCTGGACGCAGACGCTTCGGTTCGCCCCTCGCTGCAGCCGCCGTATCAAATGCGACTTCAAAGAAGAGCCTGCAGCCTGCGTTACCTCTTAAGGCCAGGCTGCACTGCCAAGCTGCGTTATAAATATTCATACAGATTGCCCGAATTCCGTTCCTTTTATAATGAATGAACCAAAACTGGAATCATGTATTTTTTGACAATTTGCGATGTCACTTGCGAGAAGTATTGACCCCAGCACCTGGACTGTATTTCCAGAATGGGAATGGGGAGTTTGTCCTTTCCGCTGCTAAATCCTCTCGGTAACCCATGTCTCTGCTA